GGCGGACGGGCCGGGCGGCGCCTTGCGCGGCGGCTGCGGGGCCGAGGGCCGCGGGCGAGCGCGCGACTCCCGGGGCCGCGGGCTGCTCGCACCCGGACTCTGTCTTGCGGGGACTTCGCCCAGGTGCGCGGTGAGCGGAGTGAGTGGGTCGCGCGCGGCCTGCCTCTACCGGGACGCGCACGCAGGCTGGCGGTGGGAAGCTGGCTGCTGCAGAGCTGGAGGCGCAGGGTTGCAGTTTTATAAGACAATACTTCTCTGTGTTAAAAACAGCCGTAGTCCCTCTTCCTTTGCCCCGTTAACTACGAGAATTAGAGCTCGTAGGGGCCAAAAACCTGAGTTTCTGAGACTCGCGTGTGCTGTAGCATCGAAAGCAAGAAATTCTGGCACCAGAAGACGCTTGGACCCTTATGGGAGTTTACAGTGTGTTTTAAATGCCAACTCCAGTTTAAATCACAATTGTAGTTAGCGTCTTTTCCTCCGTGGGCCGGCGTTTACCCTACTGTATGAATACCAGTGAATTTATTAGTACTTCTGGGCGTGTCTTTTTCTTTTACCCTCTCAATTTGTACCACTTGAAGAGGAAGTGATGCTGATAATCTTGAAGTGTTTCTTCTGCAAGTGACTTTTTTTTTTTTAAGTCTTACGATCCAAAGGGTTAAGTTCCACGAATTTCAGAAAACATAGAAAATCAAAGCTATGAAGCTTGGAAAGCTTGGAGCTTAAGTTTTACATTGAGTGCCTGTGTGTTCCAGATGCTGAGAAGTCTGGGATCTCTGAGAGTCATGAAATTGAAAGGCTCCTGTATCAGGAACTAAAAGAAGCACTGGAAACAAGGGTTGGGCCTTTCATGACTAGATGCCAAGTGAGGCCTTGAGACACATTTTTTTTTTCTTACTAGGCTCTATGGTTAAATTCTTAAACATTACCTTTTATGTATTGCTGAACTTTAACTAGAATAGATTTCCTAGGATGTCAGTTAATAATTATCTACTATGTATTTGACTCACAGTATTGACTCAAATTTTAAAGCTCTCAGGAATATCTAGGTCACAATATACGCTTTGCAAGAAGACTACAGAGCAAGTTCTGGGATGGGGAAACCCTGTCTCGAAAACAGAAGTTTAAAAGCAAAGAAGGGAGAAAACTTTAGAAAATGCAGTAAATATAAAGAAGGATGTATGTCATCTGTAATCTTACTGCCTGGAGAAAACATTTGGTATCTTAGGGTGTGAGTTTGATTGACTTTGGAAATTTGGGGCATTCAAGACTTCACATGGTAAGATTTCAGATTGTAGGAGAAAGCCACTAGCAAGCGCTGGGCATTGAAGCTACGAACATCTACTTGATTGTAGAATTTAGATAGTTTGAGTAGCACTTCAAATAACGAGGCTACTTTTGTGATTTGGAGGAAGTAGATACACTTTTAAAAATATGATCATACTCAGATCCGCATAGTACCAGATGGCAAGGTGTGTCCAGCAGTTAGCTGGAGTGACTTTCTGATGCAGGAGAAAAAGGTTGTGTTTGCAGAGATGAAGCCTGTTCTCTCCTGGACTCAATATGGCAGCATCATTTAGAGGTGCCTAGAGCAGCCTCCCAGCCAACAGCTGTCCTCAGCATGTGGAGGGTGTTTTCTCTACCTCATTTGTGTCTAGGCAGCCTTTGAAGACGATCTGTCCGTTCCGGGTGGAGTCCTTGAGGGGTTTGTGTGGCTGTGTTAGCTTTCACTGTCATGAAGTTAGTCTGTAGGCCAGCTCTAGTGTGCTAATTTACTTACCCAGAGATAACCCACGGCTGTCTCGAGCTGGGAAGTGAGGCCCTATCTCTTTAAAACAAAACAATAGTTGAAACAACATAATCTCCTATACCTTAAACCCCTCAGTGTCAATCTAGACCACATATAACTGAGTTTCAAGATTTAACTGAGTCTCAGGATTGAACCCTGGGCGCAGAACTGCTGTCAACGTGTCTAGTAGCATGCTTTGGTGATAAGGCTTTACATTTTATTCTCTGTCACAAAGAAATATACTGAATTAAAGTGAAGTTAACATCATGCTTGTAGTTTAAATTCGTGTTTTCAGAAGACGTTAGATCTTCCATGAACACATATGGGAGAAGGAATCTTAAGCGAACTGTCATTTCTAATGTGTTTGTCACTTTAGAAATGACCTTCGAGCAAACAAAATGTTAGTTTTCTTAGGAGTACTTTTGTCTCTGCCTTAGAGAAAAATATCTGAGCACCTTCCTGTTCCACTTTAGACTAGAGCTTAAAAAAGGAGGGGAGGCAGGAAGAAAAACCTTTCCTGAAGGAGAAAATTCTGAGATCAGAATGTCCCTTTTAGACCATAGAATCTATACTATGGTGTCCAATTTCTGGGCCGTGCCTTACCTTTGTGTTGTGTTTTGCTTGCTTGTTTATTTGTTTTTAGGACAAAGTCTCATTATGTAGCCTTGGCCAGCCTGTAACTGGCTGTGTAGAACAGACTGGCCTTGACGTCAGAGATCCTCCTGAGTGCTGGGATTAAAGAAAAGTATCCTTTATCATAGTCCACTTCACAGGATATGTTTTCTCCTACTAATCCTATAGCTGCTTGGGTGGTTTGTTTTCCAACTAGAGCACATGATTTCAGTATTATTTCTTCACTCAGCAGTCAGCTGTCAGAGCCTCTGTCCTAGAATTGCCAGAAACTTTTGGGCAATGAAATAAAGGCAGCCCCTGGGTGACAGGGTTGAAGAAGTGTTTCCAGGGGCCATTGCTGCAGGTTGCGCTTCAAGTCAAACAATTTCTGGCTCTTGGGAAGGACAGCTATAGGACTTTCCATCATCATCTTAAACAGATGATGAACTCGACACCGCCAGTGTTGGAAAATTCTAGGATACCATCCTTACTTGAAGGCAGGAGGTGTGATCATCACTTGTAAGTGGCCTTAGCTGTATCTGATGAAGAGAGAATGCTGTATTCACAGGCATTACATCTTGTTCAGATTCAGGCCATGCTCTTCCTTTTGTTCTCCCAGTTCTGTAAGCTGTGCTAGCAGCTGGGGTAGTCCAAGACTTAGTGTCTCAGCAAATTTTTGAAACTGTATTTTATTTGTAGCCCTTATAAACATTGAATGAATTAAGAAGTTCTGAGGTGTGTTTCCAGTTTAAAAGGTTTGAGGCTGATCTATCTTAGAGGCTTGTCTGGACCTGGGAACTGTAGTGCGTATCTAATCAGGGTTAACATCTCCGTGCCCAGAAGCCCACAGGAGTAAGTATGGGAAGAGTTGCTACAGGTAGCATTTGGCTCTGTGGCAAACCGAAAGATTGTTTGATCTTTCATTGTCACATAAATGGATGATAGTTGCAAAAACTTTGTCCCAAACCCTAGGACCCCTTTATTTGAAGGTTTTCCTAGAATACAGATACAGTGAACTAAAAAATAGAGAGGGTGTCCATATCCTTAAATCTTTTATGCACATATGGGCACATAGATCTGGGTAGGGTAGCACATTCCATCATCCCAGTATGGACAAGGCTGAAATAAGAGGAAGAAAGTTAAAGATGCTTGCTCTGGAACGAATATGATGGTTTTTATTAAAGACATGCCTATTCTTTATCATTGCTAGAACACTGAGCATCTGAGCTCTAGAATTTCACACGACAGCTTTTCTGTAGTAAATAATATTCATATACTTGTCACTATTTTGCAGACTCAGCACATGATGGTGTCTCATGGACTGTGTACTTGCATGTTGTCTCCCATCATTGCTTAGTCCGGTATGGTTTTGCGTTTAAGGTTTCCACTTGGGATCAGAATCCCTATCAGGCCTTTTGACCTTCAGAGGGCAGGGGACATGACTGTATTGCCCTTTACAGTGTCCCTAGAATTACTGATATCTATGGTAATTTTAGAGCAATTAGTTAGCTATACTCTCAGTTTGGTTAACATTTTCTATTGTGTCTTTTGTGAAGTGTCTTAGACTTTGTAGTTCATAAACTGCAAAAAGAGCTGAGCTGTGAGGCAGCTTTAAACCCATGACTAAAGTCAGATCCCATCCAATTTACAAAAGGCATTGCTGTATTGCTGTAGGTATCTTCAGTGTGTGTGTGTGTGTGTGTGTGTGTGTGTGTGTGTGCGTGCACTTAATTAGACACAATTTAAAATTTACAAGTTCTGTGTATTTGACATTGCGGCTTCTAATAGAGTGAGTCTGGCTATGTTGAGCAGATAGCTGGGGACTATTCAGCTCTGGACTCTGTGCTGTCACTGCTGAGGCATCTCCATGCTAGAGAATGCCGCAGACTCCTTCCTGCTCATAGTCACACCAGACTGGTTAGAATTTTGGTGCTGGACTGCTTTGAAGGGTTGCTTTCTTTATTCTCTTTAAGTAGCTTTCAGGTCAGCAAAAGAGCTGTTCAGAACATCCTGTGATGACATCATTCCCTTTGTTCCAGATACATTCTGGCTAGTCTGGGAGAGAAGCCCTGAGGTCTTTTAAAGACACACACTTAGGACAACTGTAAATTCTTAGTATTCTGTAATATTGAGACTATTTATCATCACAAACTTTCTTGTACTATTGATCTCGATTTCCTGTTTTTCAAACTCTGTAAATACATTTAAAAAATTTTGGGGGGGGGGGGCACAGGTCAATAAAATAAAATTTTCCTCATCTCTCCTTAACACTTGGTTCCTAGGGGAAAGCAAAATAAATGGGCTCTTAAGAGGGCTCAGAAGATTGACTCACTGCTTTTCCAGCTATCTAGTTCTAAATTTGGCAGTTCTGTGTTTATATACCCTGAATTTACCTTTGAGAGTATAAATAATCTTTCCTCTGTATGCCACAAGCTGGCTGAGAGACAGTGGCATAGCTAGAAAAAGCCTTGCTGGGGAGCAGGTTATTGATCTGCGGTGCTAATGGGCAGAGAGGATGCAGCGTCTGGTCTTAGTGCCAAAGAACTGAGTGGCTGAAATGTATTGGAACTCCTACCTCTGCTTGCCATTCCTCTTTTTCTCCCTTTACTTATTATCTCCAACAAACAAACAACGACAAAAATGACAATTCAGGCTGAGCATGGTAATGCTGTTGGTGAAAAAATATTTTTTCTAGAGCAGATTGTGGCAGTGTTGGTCTGTGAGCCTAGTGCTGGGGTGGAAACAGGTGGGTCATAGAGGCTTGCTCCAGACAGTCTAGCCAATCAGTGAATTGCAGGTTCCTTGAGAGACAGACGGAAAATAAGATAGAGGAAGACACCAGACCTTGACCTCTGGCCACCATTCCACGTACACACGCATGATGTCTGTACCTGCATATACATGCTCACTTAGCACATACTTCAGTAGGTAAATTAATATGTTTATGATTGTATGATTGCATAATTGAGAACCCACGCTAACAGCAAATCTGTTATTACTTGTGTTTCTTGTTTGGGCCAGCCTGACTAACATTGCTCTCTCTCTATCGTAGACAATGCTACTGTTAGCCAAGCTCTTCTAAAGACAGAGTCTGTCTGGCCAGGATTAATACTGACTTTCATGTATTCAAGAAATCCCCCAGAGTGTCTTCTTTGCACGTTGAACACAAATTATGTACTTTTCAAGCTGGAACAGATTTTTGAGAAATCAAGGCCAAGAAAAGATAAAACATATCCCATTGACTAGCTGAAACCAAATGTGGGCCTGAAGCACGGGCCTAACTCGGTGCACTGTGTCCCTGCTGCTCCACCACACTGGCACTTCCACCACGCTGGCACTGCTGTGTGTGGATGGGATGAACCTGTGGAGGTGTCGGAGCAGTTTCTTGCATTGACTCTAAATTACCAGCCTTGGCATAGATGCCTTGTAAAGGAAAGCTTCACTAATTTAGCCACATATAAACTCGGCTCATAAAATTAGCCCTCCTTTGAAAGGTGAGCTTGATCTTGAAGGAAGTTGTCAAGCCCTGAGGGAATGGTTACCTGTCTCAGTAACTGTACCATTGGAAGTAGTGTGGTTTTGAATGGCAATATTCCTTTGTGTTTTGAATCAGTCTCTCTTTTTGGCATACCTGCATGAGGGGAGAGAGAAAGAGAGCTATTCCAGGTTGGTCTCAAAATCACTGCATAGGTGAGGATGATTTTAAATTTGTGAATCTGCTTTCATTTCTGTAGTGTTAGGATAACAGGGACTGAAATTGGGGCTTTGTGCCTGCTATGAAAACACTGTATCAACTATTTACAGTCCACGGTCCATGAATCTTGCATTTAACTCTTTTTAAATTACATTTTTATTTATTTTGTGTGACGTTCTGTGTGTGTTGATGTGAATGTGCCATGGTGTGGATATGGAGAGCATAAGGCAGTTTTTGGAGGTTGGTGCTGTCCTTCTACCATGTGTGTCTTGTAGGTTGAATTCAGGTCCTTGGGCTTTTTAAGAGGGGGCCTAATTTGGCCAGTTATTGACCAATTTTGCTGGCCCTGAATCTTATGGTTTCAGTGAATCCTATATGTAAAAAGTTGAATGATAAAGACTATTTCTGTATGGCTTGTGCTACAGAAGGAAAAGGTGCTTCTGAATTTTCTTAAAACAACAACCTGCTTAGTGGCATTTACATCATGCATGGCTTCTGCCTCAGAGGTGCAGACCTGACATTTTGGGGACATTGCTTCCTTCTCCTCTCCTTGCTTTCCTTCTACCTTCCCCTTTCCTCCACCCTGCTCTGTCTCTGTCTTTTGAGGTAATAATATGACCCTACTTATAAATCAAAGGTAAAATAGTGATTAGACCTGGGCCAGCAACTTCATTTGTAGAAATTTATTTTAGAACCTTAGGTATAGAATAAGGCACTGAGTCAGTATTGCATGCAAGCAGTGCTTTCAGTGTTCCAGAGTAAAGCTGCCAATCACTTTACTAGTGAGAGGCAGGAAAGTGTTGCAGCAGCGCAGTGGGCTGCTGGGGATGCAGCCCTCCTGGTGCTGATGGGGGCAGTTCCCACTACAGAGAAGCGAGTAAGGCTTCCAGTAGTGTTTCGTTCTGAAACACAGGTATGCTAGGCACACACATGCAGATCCCACTCGTGCACTTACACACTCACTTGGGTATTTGCTACCCTGAAAGGATTTATAAACCACTGATTACACTGATTGCTTTAAACGAAGCGGGAGACTTAACTTCTCAGTGTTCTGTACCATTTGAAACTGTTTTCAACACCCCCCTCCCCAATATCCTTAAGAATGTTGAAGTATCACTAGAGGTTTCTGGTTGCAGGACAGACAGGCACGTCTAGTGATGTTCCCTGGTATTCACTCCTCATTAAATGTGTGATAGGATATTTAGGGCTAGTAAGCCTCTGATCCATATACAGGTTGGTGCTGTTGGGAGCAGTCTCTGGATGGTAGGAACCGAGGCACTGACTGGCGTGCTGAAGCCCCAAAGCACTCTCATGGTATGTGCTAACTGCGAGGGAGGAGAGGTTAGAGCAGAAAGAACTCCTTTGCTGGCTGATTTTAAAGATCAAAGAGTGAGTAAGTGGGAGCTTCAACAGTCTAGGTCCTCATTAGGAAGGCCTAGTTTTGTTTGCAGAACTGAGAGCTAGAGTGGAAATTCACTGGCATTATAGGGTTTTGTGTTTGTATGGGCTCCTGGAATTCCCACTACTTCTTTTCAGCATTACAGAAATTGGAGCTTCACCTGGGATTCTTTGTATAGACCTCCATAACCAGAAGTTGTTCAGAGTTCTGGGAAAATTTATACATATGTCTTTCCTGTAGGGTACCATTTAAGCTAAACCAAGCCTGGCCTGAAGTCCAGTTATCAGCTTAACAGCCAGCTTGGAGTAAACCATATTATCTTTGTAAATGGGTGTCTGTATGTGGACCGTTGCTCTTGCTGCTTCACCTGCTCTCGGCTTTCTGAGGGATACCACATTCTTGTCGTGAAGCAGCGGCTCTGTATGGCAGGGGTTTTTTTGTTGTTTTTGTTTTTGTTTTTGTTTTTGTTTTCTACACAGAATGAGTTTTTCAGGTGTCCTGGCTTTGGGCATGGGTGAGCGTGGACGCAGAGATACTGCTTCTGAATTTTCTAATTACTCCCATCCCCATCCTGGGCTAGGAACGGACAGACAAATGAGGATTGTAATGTTTTAGTTTTTGTTTTGTTTTGAGACAAAAATCTCTCTGTTATATAGCTCTAGCTATAGTAGAACTCACTATACAAACCAGGCTAACCTCAAATTCAGAGAAATCACCCTGGCCGTACCTCCAGAGTTCTGGGATTAAAGGCGTGCACCACCATACCTGGTTTAGTGTTGTAATTTTTACCTGAATCCCTGAGTGCAATGTCCCTAGGAGAGGCCAGATCCATGCAGGCAGCCAGGCTTTTCTGTTGGATACCAGCATTGCATGTTCTGAACAGGTAACTCTGCTAGCGTTTGGCAAGAGGAATACCTGGCTCTAGTATGTCGTGCTCTCATTTCAGGAAACAGCCTGGTTTTGAAGATTAGGGAAGGATTTGGCACATTGGAGAAGCGAGTGATCCTTTTCACTACCGGTAGGTAGATTTTTCTGGAATTATCTTTTCGTGGCTTTTATTAATAAGAGAACTCTTGTTAAAGTTAGCAGGGTGTGTATTAATTTTTCTTGAAATACTTTTCACTTCTTGCAGCAGAGATGCCAGCTTATTTATAGGACTCACCCAAAGCCAGAGTCATGGTGGATGTAGGAAAGTGGCCAATCTTCACACTGCTCTCACCCCAGGAAACTGCATCTATCAGGAAAGCGTGTGTCTTTGGGACCTCGGCCAATGAGGCAATCTATGTCACTGACAATGACGAGGTAAGGCTGGAAGCTGGGGGTTAGTGTGGGGCCATTTGGTGGTTGGACTTGAACCCAGTAGTCTGAAGGGTGAGAATAGGTTTGGGATAAAGAGAACCTAAAATTCAGGAAGAGGACCTTGATGTGTTTTTCAGTTTTGTGTTTTAATACCTTCCACTCTGTAGTGTAGCCCAGTACTGCAAAGCCTGAGTATTATCATCAGAGGCTGCTTATTTCTTAGTATCTATTAGTCTCTTCTTGCCTCCTGGGCTTTCAACCTAGACTTGAGTATATCTTATTTTCTGAGCAGGAAAAGGCACTGTGACTTCAGGTCAGACGACTGAGGCAAAGGTATTTGTTTTCTAGGTCTTCGTGTTTGGACTGAACTATAGTAACTGTCTAGGAACTGGAGATAACCAGAGCACGCTGGTGCCCAAGAAACTGGAAGCTTTGTGTGGAAAAAAGATCAGAAGCCTTAGTTACGGGAATGGCCCCCATGTCCTCCTCAGCACTGAAGGTAAAGAGGGAAAGCTGTGGCTTTCTGGTTTGTGGAGAATTCACTTAGTTCTGAGCCAAAGAAAGGGAATGCTGTATTAAATCACCTTACTTGGATTGTCCTTACTTCTGGGGAAGTATACAAAGAAGGTCTAATTTTTAGACACTCGAGGCCAGCTCTGCAATAGTAGCAGTGTATCTTGTACATGGACAGTCTCGAGGGATCTTAGATTTTCAGTGTAAACTGCAGAATGCTGGACAGGGTATAATTCATCTAGTCTGTTTTTTCAGTGAGTGTGAGAACCTAAGGTAACTTTGAGAGGGTTTCTTTAATATATATTTAAATTCATTTTTATTAGTATTTGAAATATATGTGTGTGCAGTGTGGGGGATGTCCACATTAGTACAGGGCCTACAGAGGCCAGAGGTGTTAGATCCTCATGGAGTTTGAGTTACAGGTAGTTGTGAGCCATTTGAGCTAGGTACTGGGAATCGAACTTGGATCCTCTGGAAGAGCAGTACATGCTCTTAACCACTGAGCTATCTCCCCAGCCCTCTTTGGTATATGTTTATAAACAAACATAATGTGGGTTCTTTCCTCTGTGTAGTTGCTGAATCTTGAGTCAGGATCTCTTAGTTTATTCTGGAGAACATATCTGTGGGTGCCATGTTGAGGCGTAGGAGAAGTGGACAGATTGTTGTCCTTGGACTGCACCTCCCTGAGGTCACCAGAGAAGCCTACCTATTCTCCTTTGCTGATTGTCTGTACCCTGGGCAAACAACACTCTGAAAGTTATCACATGTAACTTCTTCCTTGGAGTTTTTGGTCTTTTGTCCCTTGCAGAGGTCCTTCAGTTTAGTTAGATGGCCCTGTAGGGAGCCTTTGGGAGGCAGATTGCATCTCTGCTTTTGTGTCAGGGCTAGGGAACCACAGCTTCCATGGGTGCTGTCTCGGCCTCTGTGTCTACCTTGGTGTCTGACTTCCAGTGCCTCAAGTCTGAATCTGCTCCACGTTCTCTGCCTCTTTCTTGGAGGCTGTGAGAGCCGATCCAGGAGTCTGACTGGGTGTGAGCAAAGTGGGACTGCTCTGTCACAATTGCTCTACCTCATCATTTGACTGCCGCCACTCTGGCCCTTTCAGCTGCTGTTCTACCAGCTAGTTCACTATTACCTATTGGGGGCAATAGTGAAGTTTTCCAAACAGTAACCGGTTCTTAATGTCTGTCCTAAGTCCTGATGAACATTTTTAATGTTGCAAACACACTGAAAGACATACTTTCAAATTACTGACCTTCTTCAAAGCTGTGACTTTTGGAAACTATCACGATCCTTTTGGATTTGTGTTTGAGTCTAGACAATGTATTTTTTTAAAGTATCTTGAGTGTTAAATTTAGTATGCCAATAATTGGGGTTTGCTGAGAAAATATCTTCTGTGTTTAATTTCTTTATAGTGCATTTTATACATACATACTAAGTATATATTGTGTGCCATATGTATGATCAATTATTACATCTATATTTTCTTATAACCACTTAAATAGTTTTAAAAATTGTGTGTGTGTGTATGTGTGTGTGTGTGTGTGTACGTTTACATGTGTGTTCATGTTTGAGTACGGGAAGGTGTGTAGGGTGTTTGTCACAGTGCACATGAGCCAAAGAACCTCAGGCATTGGCCCTCGCCATTCACCTTGTTTAGCACCAGGCCTCTTCGTTGTTTGAAGCTGTGTGTAAGTGGTCCCCGAGCCTCTTGGGATTCTCCTGGGGTTACAGACATGTACTATCTTGCCTAGTTTTAAACCAGTTCTCGGGATTCCTACTTAGATCTTCACTTTTTCATGGCGAGTACTTTACCCAGTGAAATATCACCCCAGTCCTCAAGTAGTTTTAAAAACAATTTACCACTTTGAGCGGAGGTGGGGGTTGTATCTCAGTTGGTAACAATACTTATGTAGCATGTGTAAAGCCTTGGATTCTATCTCCAGCACCACATACAAACCAGACATAGTGGTACGTGCCTGTGTTCCCAGCACCAGGAGGTGGAAGTACCAGGACTAGAAATTCAAGGCCACCTTCTGTTTGGGGCTTTGCTGTTCTACCAGCTAGTTTGGGGCCATCCTGGGGTTAATGAGACTGTCTCAAAACACAAGCGAAGGGCTGTGGAGAAACACAGTTGTTAAAGTGCCTGCTGCTGAAGTATGCAAACTAGATTCCCAGCACCCCTGCAAAAAGCTGGGTGTGTCGGTGCTTGCCTCTGTCTCCAGTGCGGGAGGAATGGAAGAGAAGCAGATCCCTGGAGCTTGGGAATAAACTGTCCTAGCCAATGGTGAGCTCCAGGTTCATTGAGAGACTTGAAAAAATAACACAGAATGGCAGAGGAAAACACCAGCTGTCCACCTCTGGCATCCATGTGCATACAGAATACACACTTACACATGCCTCTCTTACTGGCATGTGTGTTGGAGTGGATGCTGAGATTGAACACTATTTAGAAGGAACCACTTTAACTCTTCAGATGTTTCTTTGGGAATGTGATCTCGTATTTATTATTGTGTTTTTGTGTGAGTGTGAACACGTGCATGCATAGGAGTTCAGAGGACAACTCTTGGAGTTGATTTTCTCTCAGGCTTGCATCTTTGGATGGCAACTACCTTTGCCCACTGAGCCATCTTGCTGGCACTGCTGTGTACTCCAGGCTTGCTGGCAGCTAGGCTTCTGGGAGATTCTCCTGTTGCTATCTTCTGTCTCTCTGTAGTGCTGAGATTACAGCTGTGTGCTGTCACATCCAGCTTTTTTTTAATGTGGGTTTTGGGGTTTGCATAGCATGGTCTTTTACCACTGAAGCATTTTGCCAGCCTGTTTTCTCAGATGCTTATGCTTCTACGTCTGAGTTTTCAATTTTGGGTATTATCTTTTAATTAACTTTATATTATGGCAGATAGAATTTAGCTCTTTGTCCTGTTTCTTGCTCTTATCCTTTAAACACATGGATACTGCCATTTCAGTTAAATTAGTATTGCTGTTTTCATTATTGGGAACTGTCTAAGTATTATTTATAGCTGAGCCTTTGCTTGTGTGACTGTCCCTGCTCTCACTTCCCAGGGTTGGTAACTGCTTTGAGACTGGTTGACACATCAATGCATACATCATTAGCATGTGCCCAGCTCCTTTACAGATCTGCTCTGAACCTCTGGCTATCCTCAGAGCTGTGGAACTTGACTGGCTACCTCTGAGGCTGCCTGCATAGCTGCAGCCCAAAACTTTCCTTTACTGTCATCCTCCTTGAATTTGACCCGTGTCTGGTGAAACATTCAAGAAACTTTCCAAGAAAGGGATATGAGGGAAATTCATGAGCCTGTCTTAGGAGGTCATTATTTCACTCTTACTGATGTGACTCAGTGGTTTGGCTGACCTCAGGATTCTAGGGTGGGATACTGTTTTCTCATAATTTTTAACTCATGCACTTTTTAAGATTTGGTATTGACACTGATTCGTTTCTGACCTCCACTCTTCCTGTGTGCACTTGAGTGCATGCCCGTGCGTGCGCGTGTAGAGGCTGGCTGGCAGTGTTACTCTGTGCCTTTCCACCTGCATCTTCACAGACATGGTCTCTCAGTGAACCTGGAGCTCAGCCACTGACCTGATGGGTTGGCCAGTGAGCCCCCTGGGTCCCCGTTTCTGCTTCCCAGCTCTGAGATGGCTACATGCTGTCAGGCCCTTTTTACGCATGTGCTGGAGGTTTGAACCCAGCTCCTCACGCTTGTGCTGCAGGCACTTGACCCACAGAGCCATCTCCTCAGCCCCACTTTTACTCCTGTGTGTGACTGTTTCTTCCTCTTCACAACTTCAGAGAGAGATCATTTTCTTTATTCCAGGTATTTTGAAAGAGTCGTGACTGCTCTAGAGTGGGTACTTTTTAGCTTACTGATAATTTATAGGTCTTGCCTTCATTTCTACAAAAGATTTCTACAACTATTCATGGATAATTTCTTTTTTTTTCTCTGTCCTTTTTGAAATTTTTCTTATATAGACATGAATCTGCCCTGATTTTCTTACATTTTTCCTTCCTATATATTTTCTGGAAAATTACTCAACTTACTAAAACCATGTGTCAATAACTTTTAGTTGAAACTGTGTGCATGGTGTGTGTGCGTGTGTGCATGTGCACACGTTAAGTATGAGTACCCCAGGCCCTCACCCAGTTCTTGAACACTATACGATCCTGTCCCAACAGTGATATCACAAGCAACACGAAGAGGACACAGCTTGTCCTTGTGTGAATCGTCATACCTAATGGCACACTTTCTTCGGAATCCAGGGCTGGAATTGGCTCCCTGTGCACTTCCCCTTCTGCAGATGTTGACTGATATTTTTTCTGGTTTCCTTTGTTAGTTACAATATCTGTCTGTTTTCCAAAGTTCTGTGTCATGGAACCAAGGCTGGCCTCAAATGAATTGTGTAGCCAAGGGTGACTTTGAACGCCACATCCTCCTGTCCCACTGCAAGAGTTCACTCTAGAGAAGCCTATTTTTATACATAAACTTTGACTTTGACCACAAAGCTGATCTTGTATGCAAGTGCCAAGGCCTTTCATGAGAGGTTTGCTTCTGTCTTCCCTGTTGTCTCTCTAGCTCTCTGACTCCCTACTAGTGGTTATCTTGTAGAGAGGGGGGCACAAATGCTAGAGCAGTGAAGGTGCAGGAGGTTACCAGTTCCTGTTGGAGATAGTGTTTTGCGTGTTTCTCTGTTTAGATGGAGTCGTCTACGCCTGGGGCCACAATGGATACAGCCAGCTGGGGAATGGGACCACCAACCAAGGCATTGCTCCTGTCCAAGTCTGTACCAATCTCTTGATCAAGCAGGTGGTTGAGGTAGCGTGTGGTTCACATCATTCAATGGCTTTAGCAGCTGATGGAGAGGTAGGTGTGCTTTTTGATTCCTCTTAAAGAACTGTCATAAACTGTATGATACAGGGCTTATTATCATAAGCATGTTGAGTGCAGTGTCCAGTAGCATTAAGCAGTCACACTGTTTGGTCTTTTCACTCACAGATCTCTTTCTTCTTAAAAAGCTGAAGCCCCAAAACTGTTAAATGTCAATTTTCCTTGACATTGTAACTGTGACCACTCCAGATACTGCCTGTATATAGAATCAAATAATACCTGTCATTTGGTGACCAATTTCACTTAGCATGGTGTCCTCAAGGTTCGTTCATTTCTATGGTGTGTGACAATTTCATACACGTATGTACACTGTATCTGATCCTTTCCACCTCACTCCCTGACTCGTCCAGCATGGTCCTTCTACCTCTGTGTCCCTTGGGGGGGGGGGCAAGGGATAACCCACTGAGTTAGTGCTGCTGGACTATTAACTGATCTTGTTGAATTAATCCTATGCAAGTAACCATAACTGCAGTGAGTTAATTAGTGCAAAAGCCATGTCATGTCCAGAAGACAGCATTTCACAGCACCCCTTCAAGTGTGTGTGTGTGTGTGTGTGTGTGTGTGTGTGTGTGTGTGTGTGTGAATGTATTACATTGGGGATGGGGGTGGGGGGTATTGGGAATTGAACCTGTGGTCTCATACATGCTAGGCAAGTACTCTACCCTAGGCCCATTTCATTCATCTTACTATTCAGTTGTTTTTAAAAATATCTCCTGCCTTACTAGTTATATCTTGTAGCTAAAAACAACCAAACAATAAAACTTCTATGAATACATTCTTTCTCTAATAATATTTGTGTCATATACTCAGAATCACCATTAGCTGGGCTAACGGTGTGTACATGTTCATAGTCCTAGCACCAAAGACTTGAAAGCAGGATGGAGATTTCTAGGCTAGCCTGTGCTACAGAGGAAGAGCTTGTCTCAACAAATGAAAAAAAAAAAAAAACTAACAAAAACTTTTAAATAAAAATTTTTAATTGCATTTATGTATTTATTTATTTTTTATTGTGTGCATGTAGGGGTCCAAGGGCAACTTGTGGGAGTCAGTTCTCTCCTTTACTATGTTTATCTGGGGATGGAATTCAAGCGCCTTTGCCTGCTTGTGTCTTGTGATCTCAGAAAACCCTTTGGAGGGGAGAACTCAGTGTTTAGGTTCATGCTCTCCATGCTCTTTGCCATGACTACAAATCAGATTCTCAGTTTCCCACTCCAGGTCCCCTACATCCTTCCTAACACATCTCCTGCCTTCACCCACTCCTTCTTAATAAGCCATCCAGACCAGTTAGTGCTGGGCATGTGTGCATGTGTGTGGGCTCACTGGAAAATTGGCTCAGGAATATCATGAACGAAGAAATGGAAAAGAGAAAGACCTGGGGCTGTGGAGGAGTGCTGTAAGATACTGTTTTCTGGATATAACATGGCCAGCATACTCGGAAACTCATAGCATCTGTGGCTACCTACCTAAGAGTAGACATATTCCCACAGTGGGTGGGGAGATAGCTCCAGGCTCCACTTCCTTCTGAGAGCTGCTGTGGGAGGACCAGGGAGAGTCACAGTTTTTTGTTTGTTTTCCTTTTTTCAGGGTGTGACCATTGACAGAGCATTATTTTTGTTTCTCATATTTGTTTCTGGTTTTGACTAGCATAGAAACCTGCTTTTGCATCTCCAATGAAAATCTAGTGGTCAGATTGTGGTAGTTAATAGCAAAAGTAGTTTGACAGGTAGCAAGTGAGAACTCAAATACTTAGAGCAGCAATATAATAACCAATGGTATTTCTGTAGGTTGATGATTGTTGTACGTGTACTGTGTCAGACATAGACGAGCATGTGTGTGTTCACATAATGTCAGCATTTATTGAGTACAACTGCTTTGGTAGCAGTTTCTCTAGTAGCCCTGCTTTCTCTGGTAGCCCTGGCTAAAAATGATTTATTCCATCTTAAAATTCCAATCTCAGTTACTCATATTAACTCTCAGAGTACGTATTATGTATGCTCTGCTGTGTTATGTGTCTGTCTGTGTGTATGCACATGCATGTGTGTATGTCTGTTTGTGTGTCTATGTGTGTAACATGAATATTACGAAGGGGTTAAACAGGCCACAGCAGAGCTACAGGGGTTTCAAAGACACTTGAGAGGTAGAAGCTAGTAAAGGTACAAAGAGAGGCTCTGTGGGAGTAAGTAAGATGATGAACCTAGGCTGGAGCTCCCGGGGGGAGGTGCTAGCTGCTGCTGCTAGAGTGAAGGGGTAGAGTCAGAACTAAGCTTCAGAAGCCAGGTGAAGTAGAGGCTCTAGAGGTAAGGGTTAGGATTGGGTCGAAGGGGATGAATGGACACATGGATGGACATTATGTCCAGACAAATGCATAATAAATTGACTTGGCCTTGTAATCAGGGTATCCATGTTGAGCCAAAGCGCCTAGGACAGTTGGGAATTCTCTGCTTCCTATACACAGTGGTCAGATGAAAATTCTGTGTGGTCATCACCACTGCAGAATTAGATGTCCTCTTTATGTGGTGGAGTTAAGAGTGTTGCCCCTTTCCTTAGTCTCTGTGTCTCATAAGTTCTTGTGCTTGTTTTTTCTGATGTAATTTTAATGTGCTGGTGGGTTCCTACAATCCCAGTTTATAATGATGAATTTACACACCACCCTTATTTATCAATCTGTGTCTTTTAGGTGGTGCCAAGCAGATGGTGCTATTTCCTTGACCACTAAGTGCAGAGTCATTCTCCATAGCAGGATAAAAAACTGTTTATAAGGTGGACCCTCACAGGGCAAGGCACAGTCTGAAAACCATTTTACACAATGTGAAGTAACTTCGAGCAGGGCTCATCCTGGGGGCTAGAATTCTTACCCCGGGGCTACTGTATGAAATTACTGTGAAGGTAGGTAGGTAAGCGCACTTAGAGCATTCTGAACCATGCCAAAGGTGTGACAATGGGTTTTCCTTGTTCTTTCTCTTGTAGCTGTTTGCATGGGGCTATAACAACTGTGGTCAGGTGGGATCAGGATCTACAGCAAACCAGCCAACTCCTCGGAAAGTTACAAACTGTTTACATACCAAGAGAGTGGTCAGTATTGCCTGTGGTCAGACCTCATCCATGGCTGTTCTGGACAGTGGTGAGGTTCGTGCTCTTCATTTTCCTTTCTGCTCCAGCTCTATTTCAAAGGTACCAGCATGGAGAGGAGAGCCTCTCTTGGATACTGACCCCTACCTGAGGACTAGCTAGCAGCTGTTCAATCCTCAGAATGACTCCAAGTCTGAAGACTGGAAGTAAACATTCTGATGTGTCTTGATTTTTGCTTGCTTGTTTTTCAAGATTCCTATAGCCATATGATAAAGGCAGAGGGCAGAGTAAATGTTAATCCTTTTAGGTATTTGGGTTTAAGGCTATGCACTAAGAAAGAACTACCTTTCTTCCAGAGGAAGAAGCATCTGTACATTTTTTTAATGTGACAATGAAGTTTTCATACAGCCACCCCAGCATCTCAGTTTTATTGCAGGGAGCATCTTAGTGTTGACCATTGTGAGCTACTGTAATAAATGTACCCTCTGCTACCCTGTACCATAGGCACTTTTGGGGCTGATGGTTACATCTGTGAAATTACTGGTGCAGCTTCTACAGACCACTTACCACCTATGCATTTGGTGTGTGGAAATTATAGTCTTTGTATATGGCATCCTGCAGTGAGTACATGTTACTGAGTCCTAAGTTGACTTTTTTTTTTTTTATTCAACCCTTCTATCATCCCTGAATACTTCAGAATTCTTTGGTAGTCAGCTAATAGCCTCTTTCGGTGTTCTTCATGCTTTTATTTTTTAAGATTTTCATGATATATATATGTGTGTGTCTCTGTGTGTGCACATGCATGCAGTGTGCCTGTGGAGTCCAGAAGAAGCAGTCAGATCTGCTACAGATGGGGTTGCAGGCTGTTGGGAGCCCTCGGAACTGGGGACCAAACTGGCCATCGGCAAGAGCAGTACCACTCTTAACTGCTGAGCCATCTTTCTAAGCCTAGTATTTTTTAATATTTTTAAATTTTATCTATATTTTTTAATAAGTTTAACCTCAAATGATTATTATGTGGATACTTTTGCAAAGAGGGAGGCAATAAAAACATACAAATTTATACACATACATTTGCATGCAACTTTAAATAGCTTTTTCCTAATTTTGTTAATGGTTTCATGTGTATCCTTGTGTACTTTTCTTTATAAGCAATTATCTACAGATGAGTTTTGTTACCTTCTTAAACAAGTGTGACGATTATATACTGCTGCTGCTTTCTGTCATTCTTTAGCTTTCTGTTCCCTGTCCCACTTGGCAACTCGTGCCTTGTCTCTATGATGTCTCAGAGTATCTCTGTAGCATTTATCGTAAAGCTGCTTAGTTTTGCTCCTGTGGGCAACGTGCACCTGGAACTCTGCTGAAGAGCTTTTCAATTGTTTCTAATTTTTTTGCTGTTGTGAACAGTGGTGCACAGATTTTTTGATATTGCATGTACATCATGATACTTTATGCAGGTATTTGTGTAGAATAAATTCCCCAGCATAGGGCTTTTTTCTGGGTCAAGAAGTATGCCACTAAGAATATAGATAGCTTTTGCCAAATTTCTCTCCAGAAGGCCAGTGCCTGTTATAATTTTAGCTTTGATGAAATCATTATTTTTTTATATTAGTTACATTTTATTAACTCTGTATCCCGCTCCCTCTTTCCCTTCCAATCCTACCCTCCCTCCCTCATCTCCTCCCTGCCCCTTTCCAAGTCCACTGATAGGGGAGGACCTCCTCACCTTTCATCTGACCCTGTTTTATCAGGTATCTTCAGGACTGGCTGCAAAGTCCTCCTCTGTGACCTAGCAGGACTGCTTCTCCCTTGGGAGGTGGGCACGTCAAAGAGCCCGCCATTGAGTTCATGTCAGAAATAGTCCCTCTTTGCCTTACTAGGGAACATACTTGGATACTGAGCTACCGTGGGCTACGTCTGAGCAGAGGTTCTAGGTTATATTCATACATGGTCCTTGGTTGGAGAAACAGTCTCATATAAGACCCATGTGCCAGATATATTTGGTCCTTGTGGAGCTCCTGTCCTCTCCAGGTCATATTAACTCCCCCTTCTTTCATATGATTCCCTGCACTTTGCCGAAGGTTTGGTTATGAGTCTTAGTATCTGCTTTGATACACTGCTAGGTAGAGTCCTTCAGAGGCCCTCTGTGGTAGGCCCCTGTCCTGTTACTTGTTTTCTCCTACATCCAGTGTCCATCCCATTTGTCTTTCTAAGTGAGGATTGATCATCTTATCCTGGGTCCTCTTTCATGTTTATCTTCTTTAGATGTATAGATTTCAGTATGTTTATCATATCTTTTAGGTCTAAATAAGTGAGTATATACCATGTGTGTCTTTCTGCTTCTGGGATACCTCACTCAGAATGATCTTTTCTAGATCCCACCATTAGCCTGCAAATTTCATGATTTCTTCATTTTTAATTGCTGAGTAGTATTCCATTGTATAAAAATACCACAATTTCTATATCCATTCTTCTGTTGAGGGACATCTGGGTTGTTTTCAGGTTCTGGCTATTACAGATAAAGCTACTACAAACATGGTTGAGCAAATGTCCTTGTTGCGTGCTTGAGCCTCTTTTGGATATATGCCTAGGAGTGGTATAGCTGGGTCTTGAGGAAGCACTATTCCTAATTGTCTGAGAAAGCACCAGATTGATTTCCAAAGTGGTTGTACCAGTTTACATTCCCACCAGCAATGGAAGAGGGTTCTCCTTTCTCCACAACCTCTCCAGCATGTGTTGTCACTTGAGTTTTAGCCATTTTGATGAGTGAAAGGTGAAATCTCAGGGTCGTTTTGATTTGTATCTCTCTGATGGCTAAGGATGTTGAGCATCTCTTTAAGTGTTTTTCTACCATTCGATATTCCTCTACAGAGAAGTCTCTGTTTAGCTTCATACCCCATTTTTTAATTGGGATGCTTGATTTATTGCTTTTTAACTTGTTTAGTTCTTTATATATTCTGGATATCAGCCCTCTGTCAGATATAGGGTTGGTGAAAATCCTTTCCCAGTCTATAGGCTGTCATTTTGTTCTGACAACAGTGTCTTTTGCTTTACAGAAGCTTTTCAGTTTCATGAGGTCCCATTTATTGATTGTTGCTCTTTATTGATGAAGACACCTCTCACCCTCTGTCCCTTTCTGTTTTATCCTGAAAGCTCCACTGTGCATTTGCCTGCATTGATGTGGGGCTTGGTGCCACCAGAGTTGTAGGCTTAACCTTTTAAAATCTGCGCTGTTAGACTTTATTACAATGGCCCTTACTGGCTGTTCCAAGCCATCAACCCTCCTGACTAGCTTGTGCCAGCTGCTACTTCAGCAGATGGTGCATGCCACTTGAAACTCGGAGGGACCACCCAATTCTGTGCTTCCTCTGTCCAGCTCCTTTCTCACCCACTCCCTCTCTTGGTTTCCTGTCACTTTTTAGCTCAGAGCCTTATAAGGGCTCACGTGTTTACTGATGGGACATGAAATTACCTACAAAATTGTTCTTCTGCCTGTCACCCATTTACCCTTCTCTCTGTGATCTTTTAAAAATGAAAATTTAATCTCTATTTTAAAATTCTTAGATGTATTCCCTTTCTTTTGTTTTTTGTTTGTTTGTTTGCCTCTCTTTTTGAGATGGTGTCTTGCTGTGTAGTCCTTAATGGTCTGGTGCTTGATATGTTAGCCCAGGCTGGTCTTGAATTTATGGTAGTCTCCTGCCTCAAAATCCTTAGACCTGTTATTAAGGCATGTATGAATGCCTGGCTTCATTTTTTGTTTATTTTTAACCATTTTATAATCTGACTCATCTTTTCTTCTACCACTTTTCTACCTACTTATCTTCTGTCTCTGCCTATGGCATTCTGTGTGCCTTCTGCCCAGAATGCCATCATCTAATGCTGCTCAGCGTTCCCCCTTCTAAAGCCTTCCCTAACATTTCTTCTCAGAAAGAAATGTTCTTCTCACTGTTCCCACAGTGCTTGATGATCTCTATTTGTGGCTCTTACTGCCTGCTCACCGAGTGTGCACACAATCTTTGCCTGTGTTGAAACTTGGCTAAAGACTCCTTCTTAGTGCCTTTTACTGTGTAGGACATGTGGTTGGTCCTTCTAGTCATTAATGACCCTCATCTTCCTCATTTGTGAAGTTACAAATGGGAATAGATTGTAACTTCAGTCATCTTCACCTTCAGAACTTCTGAGTTCTGTTTGTAGGATCACATAGTATACAGTACAGATTTTGGGGTATCTGATTTGTGTGGGACAGAACTTATCTTCCCATTGGCAGTTTCTATAGCTTGTCCTCTCTTCTCTCCACTCAGGTGTATGGCTGGGGCTACAACGGCAATGGACAGCTGGGCTTGGGAAACAATGGCAACCAGTTGACCCCAGTGAGAGTGGCAGCTCTGCACAGTGTGTGTGTGAACCAGGTACACATTGCATTTTCTTGCCAGCCCCACCCACCTTCCCTGCTCTGATGGCAGATGTACTAGAGGTTAATTCTTTTGTCATTCAGTTCTGGCAACTCTTCGTGCCTTTCCCTTTCACATTTAATGTTTAAGCCTTCCTGTTTTCCTGTGAGGAAAGGGAAGCCCATGGTATTGGCCATGCTCTTCTTCACAAGGTAAAGAAGTTGATGAAGTCTAGTGGTCAAAGGGTGGGCTTCCCTGATGATTCTGACTATTCCAGCAAACGCCAGTGCACAGGTGCAGCTGACCTGGCATTCTGCAGGGCCAGGCTGTGCTCTAAGCAGTTGGTTGCCCTGTCCTGCCTGTCTTCTAGTGTGGTAACCATTTGTGTTTACTTTCAGATTGTCTGCGGCTATGCACATACATTAGCATTAACTGATGAGGGCTTGCTGTATGCCTGGGGAGCTAACACATATGGGCAGCTTGGAAATGGAAGTAAAAATAACCTGCTAAGCCCAGCACAAATCATGGTGGAAAAAGAAAGGTAAATAGGCCACACCATGTTTTGGAGACTGTGTGTGTGGCCTTGGGGCCGTGGCAGGGCTTTGGTATTTGGCTTGTGACTCTTGATTATAACATTCTTGTTTTGATCAAAATTGTTTGTGAATCAGAATGAACATGTGTGACCTTGCCCTGTCTCCTGAGGCACCCACCTGTGATGGGTAGGAAGTAAGGCATCTTTGAAAGGCTACTGGGATAGATACTTAATATCTGTTAATCAAACTGAGGTTTTGACACAGTGAGTTTGTTTGGGACCCTGCCATAGGAGCACTGTGAGAAATGACGAAGGCCTGGCTTGGTGTTTTGGTTTGGAAATCTAATGAAGGTGCTAAACCCTGGGTAGAGATGAGTAAGGGGATGTCTCTGTAAGGAAATGCTGTGTTGAAGATATGAGGGGTGTGGTGGAAAGGAGAGAGACAGTGCTTGTAAGTACCTGAGCTTGATCTTAAAAAGCCAGTGGTGCTGTGTACGTGTAACCCCAGCACTGAGAAGGTGGAGACAGTTCGGCGCCTGGGGCTCAGCCTGCCCTGTGTGCCAGGGAGAGACCCTCTCTCAATGAAAAGCTTCACAGCATCTGGAACTGACACCTGAGGTTGTCTTCTGCCCTCGACACACATGTGCACTCCATCCTCACCCTCACACACCAAATAAGTTTTTGAAAGATTATTTTTAAAATTTTAATGTATATGTATGAGAGTTTTTGCTGTATGTATGTGTATGCCCCACGTGTGTGTGTCTGTTATCTGTGGAATTCGAAGAGTGTTCTGGATCTTCAAGAACTGGAATTGCAGATGGTTGTGAACCAACATGTTGTTGTTGTAACCCAAACAAAAAGTGTTCTTAAGCTCTGAGCCATCTCTTCAGCCCCAGTATTTTTTGTTCATTTGCTGTTAATAATCCCAGAACAGTGAAGACATTATGTCATTGTCCACCATCCTCGCTGATGTTAATTTCTGGTCTCTTCCCAAGTTTGCCTCAACGGTATTATTATTTATCTATTCCTTCTTCAAGATGAACTTAGGTGAGAAGTGAGGCCCTCAGAGAGAGACAGAGAGGGGAGGTATGTGTTGAGGGCTGACATATGTTTTTTTCCTGACATGGTTCTTTAGGCAGGATTTGTTGCTTATATCACTGCCCTTTGACTAATATATGAGCTGTTCAAATGTGAACTTCTCAGTTATTTTGTGGGGTGTGCTGGACACTAATGAACAAGGAGGTAAATGAATTTTTCTTTAAATTGTTCAGGGTCGTAGAGATTGCGGCGTGTCACTCCACTCACACATCTGCTGCGAAGACCCAGGGCGGGCATGTGTACATGTGGGGCCAGTGCCGGGGCCAGTCGGTGATCCTCCCTCACCTCACCCACTTTTCCTGCACTGACGACGTGTTTGCCTGCTTTGGCACCCCTGCTGTCTCATGGCGCCTCCTGTCTGTGGGTAAGTCACCTATGCCTGCCTCCACCCAGGGTAACCAGATCCCATTCCTACATATCGGGCTTTTGTGAGCTGTTTGAGTTCTAGGGTGTTTTTTGTATGCTAGTGTTAATGCTTTTCCTGAATAATAATCAGATTTAGTCATAAGTCATGAAACACTTCCATGGGATTATTTTTTCCTCCCTAAGTACTTCTATTTTAGTTGGGTTCATATTTAATAACAAATTAACCAATGTAGTCTAGTGGCATTTAGTTCTGTCATAATGCTTTGCACCCACTTTGCACCATATTAAGCTCCAAGTGTCTTTATTACTTCAAAAGACAGCCCCACCTCACTGACCAGCCCCCCCCCACCTTCATCCCTTTTTTTGTGAAGAAAAGAGGATGTTTAGGAAGAATTAAGATGCTACTGAACTTAAGGAAAAATGAGCTTTTTTAAAAAAATTTATTTTACCAGCTCAGTATAATTTGATGTATATTTGCAATAAATACAATGACAAAAGAACAAAACATTTGTTTCAGTGAGTGGAACCATTTTATTGTAATCATGTTTATGTTAAGCACACAGAGCCAAATAGGTCAGTACAACATAGCTTGAGATTTCCATTACTCCTCCAGCTGTCCTAATTATGAAAGGCCTCCCCAGGTTCTTGTATCTTAAATGTCTTTTTCAGAACAGTATTTAATACTGTTTGGAGGGGGCAAAACTAGCCACTGACCTTATCTCATGAATGGCTTCTTTGCTTCCAGCCACTAGAAGTCAGAAGGGTTGTACTAGTCATCATAGACAAAGGGAAAAGTTCGTTTCCGTTCTATGTTGACATACTGAGGCGCCCATAAAAACCTTTGTTTTGTGTAAGTGCTTAGCCACCCTTCATATCCTGGGACAATGACCACCTTAGTCATTCCCTTTCTTTTTTCTGTGTGCTCTAGTCTAAGGGATGAATGGAGACTGGTCCTCAATATAAGTCCCTACTTTTTCAAAGCCAGCTATGCAATCTTTCTTCTCAGCCCAGGGCAGTGGAGAGGCATCTGCTTTGGCTCAGTACCCAGCCTTTGGGTAGACCTTTTTAAATGTCATTTGTTATTTTTGTTCCTCCATACATACAAAGTTCGGATGGATTTGTACTGGATCTTTGACTTCCTTCACAGTAACACCATGCTCCTTAGGTACACTCATCACAGCAGCTCATGCAGTCCTTACAGGGAAAGCTGGCTGTTTCTAGATTGCTTTACCATTAACTTTCAGGTCTAAACACAATGTTTAGATTACATATAGCTAAAAAGTTTCTCTGCTTAAGAACTGCTTTGCATGGTAAGATGTTCTGGGGTTTTTTTTGTTTTTTTTTTTTTTTTTTTTTAACCTTGTTTTGAACATCCAACCCTGAAACTAACTACCCAAATCAGAGCCAAAATGTTCTCATTGTTTTGGTCAAGGGAAGTTGGTAAGCAGTTTGTCCCAGAAGAGAAACTGCTCAGATCATGAGAGGTCTGTCGTATCTCATACAACTGCAGACTACCTGTGAGGTTTATTTTCCGTGCATATTTTCATGTTTAATTACACATGAAGACTGTTATCTGACTTTTCCTGATATTCATTTTGTTTTTTGTTGTTAGTTTATAGATGAATTACGTTAATGCTGTGAAGTTGATTTGTCAGCTTAGACATAAGCTTTCTTGACCAGAAATAGAGTGGAATTATATACCATAATTATCTTTCTGAAGTCATTTATGCCTGAGCTTTGTGTTAACTGTGTCTGTTGCCTTCAGAGCACGAAGACTTTTTAACAGTTGCACAGTCACTGAAGAAAGAATTTGATAGTCCAGAAACTGCTGATCTGAAGTTTCGAATTGATGGGAAATATATTCATGTCCATAAAGCTGTTTTGAAAATCAGGTATTTTTGCATAAGTTTAGAGCAACATTTTTTTCTGTTTCTGCTTGTTTGCTACAATACAAAATAGTCACTAAGAAGAAATAGCTATGGCAGTACACAGAAGTATGACGTCAATTTTTGGCAGATAGTTATCAAATCCACTTGTTATCTAAGAGTATTTTGACTTGTGTTCAAGCAAATTTTAGGGAGTGGGAGAGTATAAGTATTTATGTTGTTTTTTTTTCCTCTTATTTGGTTTTCTGTAATACTAGAAATTATAGCCAGTACTTGTGCACACTAGGCAAGTACCCCTAGGTACTGGGCTAGGGAGATAGCTTGGTAGTACAGCACTTATCTAGCATGATGCCTGGGTTTGATTCCACAACAGTAAGAATAAATCAATTAATAAATGATAAACAGCTTTTGTAGATACTTTTTACATTTAAATATCAATAAATGTCAGTATTCCTCTTCTATTAACGATTACTTTTTCTCCAAACAGAAAACTCTTGTAATTAGGAATGCAAACTAAAGAAGAGTTGCCAACTAAAGCAAAGTTGTTTAACTAGAACAAGTGGCAGGCATTCCTGAATAAATGTGCAGGGACTGAACATTAATTAGTAATGGTTAAATGATTGTTTACTTAGATTGCCACCTCAGAGAAAACACATAGAACTCAAACCATTGAACTGACCGTTTATGTCTTCATGGGTATTCGGTTAAAAATCTTGTTTGTGGATGGAAGTGCAGCTCAATTGGTAGAGCGTTCACCCACCTTGCAAGAGGCCCTAGATCCTTTGCACTGCAGAAATTGGAGCATCCCAGCATTTTGTGGGTAGAAGCAGCAGAATAATAAATTTTAAGACAACTGCAAAGCCATATGTCATTAATTACTTGGAACAATAACTGTATGAACCACAGAAGCAGATGAAAAACAATTAGACATGTTTTGCCTATGACTCTTGTCAACTCAGTGTGTGTGTATCTTTATTATATAGCTATTCTAACCTATTCATTATGCCTTGCTTAGAAATATTGTTTAGTATCTCAAGAGTAATTACCCTGAAACCATGATTTTTAGAACTCTGAATAGATATTATGTATCGCTGTACCTTATCTCACTCTGCCACTAGGCTACATCCCAGCCCCCACTGTGTTGTTTAAAATGCATTTCTGTGTATGTAAAACCAAAAGCAAATGTTCCAAACACATGCTTAGAACGGAGGACTGCTGGAGGCAGAGTTATTGGCCTACTGGATGCTTCCGGGCTGTCTAGCTAATTGATACTGTTCAATGGTGGTATCAAGATAAACCTGATTTTTATCTGCAGTGATCATAAAAGTCCATGCATAGCAAATACTTTTGGTGCTGTTGTGTAGTGATCACCGTTTGTGGCAGCACAGGAAGTAAAAGGTCCCTCTAATATCTGTTTATCTTATCTCAGCCCTTGCATTAAGTTGTTTTGGTTTTTGTTGTAGGTGTGAGCACTTTCGGTCCATGTTTCAGTCCTATTGGAATGAGGACATGAAGGAGGTGATCGAGATAGACCAGTTTTCTTACCCGGTGTACCGTGCTTTTCTCCAGTACCTCTACACAGACACCGTGGATCTGCCACCTCAGGATGCCATAGGTAGTGCCTTCGCACCGGCCAAGCTGTGTGCCATGCCTCTCTCTTGTTCTTAGAGCAGTAACTAATAGTAGTTTACAGGTATATTGACTTATATATACTTAAAAATATCACTTCAAGTAAACACCTCTAAGATGGTACTATGTTTAAAATTATGGGCATAGTTTATAAATTTATTTTTAGTACGAAAGCATAAGTTTCTAATGCATTTAGCCTTTTAGAAACAAAATAAGGAAGATAATTTTTTTTTACTTTTTTACTATGGAAAAAATTATATAAAGTAAATATTGGACAGGTATAGTTTTTAGGTGTGAGATTTACTCAGATTCAGAATAGTGAAGCTGTTATCAGTTAGTGTACAGACTTTGAGCTGCTCAGATCTTTCCTGCCTTTTAGGCCTTCTGGACTTGGCGACGTCGTACTGTGAAAACAGACTGAAGAGGCTTTGTCAGCACATCATCAAGCGAGGAATTACTGTGGAGAACGCTTTTTCCTTGTTCTCTGCTGCAGTCAGATATGACGCAGAGGTAACACAGAAGTGTCCCAGCTCCCTCACTGTCAGCCCACTTCCTCTCTCCTGTGACACAAGGAGCATGGCTACCTTCACCTCCTTTAGTGACTCAGTGACGAGCCTCTGATGAAATCTGCTCTGTTTCTTTACATCTCTGTTCAAAGTTCAGGATCAGTGTTTTTCTGCTTCTGCTTTTAACTAATTGGCTGAAGACTGCATAGTGGGAGTATAAAGTGCTGGGCGCTGCTGGGCTGACAGGCAGCATGCTTTACTTCCAGTCTTCGGGGATCAGTGTGTCTATCTTCAGACCCACTTTGCTGAGTCCACCCTGTCAGAAGCCCAGGGTGCCGCGGGCTTTCCATCTGTGGGTCTGGGATTCTATCACAGTCATGTAGCTCAATCATTCCTCTGTGAAGAATTTACTGTGTACTACCACTTTTTTTAATTTAGTGTGTGTGCATTCATGCCTGTATGTGTTCGTGCATGCTTGCATGTGCGTGTATACATGTCTGGAGACGAGAGGACATCTCTAGGGAGTCATTTCTCTTCTTCCACCTTTAAAGAGACTCCAAGGATTACAGACAGTTGTTAGGCTTATACAGCAAGTGTCCCTACCCACTGAGCCATCTCAGTCCCCACTGTGATTGTTTTATATTTAGTTGGGTTCCAAATCTGGGACTCTAAGATTTTTGGATTCCTTGAGTGGCGTTCACGAGTATGTATGCCATTGAACTTTCCTCAAGTTAGGCAGAGCCCCAGGTTGTAGACTCCTTATGAGCAGAAGCTGCCCGACTCACTGTGTGCTGCAGCGCCCAGCACAAATGCTGAACCAAGGCAGAGATGCTGCAGTAGACATAGCTAATGAACTCATAGCCGACCTGGTTAGTTTTACAGAATCGTGAAAAATAAAAGGTTCAAAATGGCTGGCTTTGCCATGTGTACCAGGAGCCTGTCTTTGACAAGGCTGAGTCTCTGATAACTGGAATGTACAAAAAGTGCATATTGTGGCTCTTAGGGTGTAACAGAGGACAGACTTCCTGTCACACTAGGGATTGAGCTGACCATGATGTCTTTTATTTTCAAACTGTATCCTGTGTCTGTTTGAAGTTCTTTTGTGGTAATAAATATTCACACGGTCAAGTGTAGCTGACTTGGGAGTCTGACAACAAATGGAAAGATGGCTAGAGTGACTTGTATCTCTTGGAAAGGGAGGTTTGTTTCCTCTACTTCCTGCACCACCATGAGCCTGTCTGTGAGAAAGGCTTCATTTCCACACAGCAGTATAAATTTAAGTTGGGTTGATGTCTTTTCTCTCCATTTGGGGGTCAACTCTAGACTTCTCGTACCTCTCCACACTGTTCCATGTTCTGTGCTCAATCCTGTTGATTTACAGAACAACCTGAATAAACCAGCAGCTTAGATCCTGTTACTGGAAATTTGTTCCCCACTTTTCACCTAAAATCTACCTTTAAAAGTTTACAGGAAGGGTCTGGGCACACATCTTTAATTGGAGTAGTTAGGGCACAGAGACGGAGGAGGGTCTCAGGGAACTTGAGGCAGCCCGCTTAGTGAGTTGCAGTCTAGCTAGGGCTACACAGCAAGACCCTGTCTAAAAAAAAAAGAAAAACAAGCTTTCAGGAAGAACTCAGTGCCGCTGTGCCTGGCAGCAGCCCATGTCACTTAAGTACAAATGCATTAAGAACTGTTCCTATAGGGAGTCTGCAAATGAACGTGATCACCTGGAGCTTGTCACCATGTGGACAAGCCAGTACTCAAAAGCACAGGCTACACTGAGTAATTGGATATGTTTGAAACACCAAAAGTACATATTGAATTCAATGAACAAATATGTTGGAAGCACTTCAGTAAAAAGGAACACTTTTGTAAAAGTATTCAAAATAACAAACCTTAAATTCCACAAATATGACACATTTAATGTGGAAATAGAGTAGAATCATTATAACTTCTTAGGTTTTGATACTGAGCTCTATTATCAATGAGTATATGTTTATATTTTATTTCCTTAATACCTTAGAATGTTTTAAGTGAACATAGTATTGAGTGTTCAACTCAAACCCATGTTATTAGTTGATCGGAAGTAACTGAATTGGTAATTAACTACAAGAACTAATTTTGGAAGCCCAGCTTCGGGGTAGCAGATACTGTTGGGACATGGCTGTTGTCAGAAAGGTAAAGGTGGGCTGCTGCTCAGTTAATGCCTGCTCTGGAGCAGCAACTGACCCATCCATGCTCCTGCCCTCTGAAGTTAATGAACTGAAGAAGCACAGCTTAGTAGCTATACCTTCCAAAGCAAGGCTATGGGGAATGTCTTGAGAATGCATACCATCAGACTTGGTACATTTTACAGAGCTCTTCACTGTTCTCCAGCACACAGCAGGGAGGAACTAGAGCTCTGCCTCAGCATAGCAGGGGGAACTCTTGAGGGGACTCAGGAATTTCAGGAGCCTGTTTTGCATGTGAACGTTGGAAAGCTTAATACCAGAGCTAAATGGTCAGCATTTTTATTGTTTTGTTGTATTGGAGAGGGCTAAATTAAGTTTTCCTTGGCCAGTGAGCCTCAAGATTCTTCGGGTAGCAAGAGAAAGCACCCTTGTTTTTTCCTACATAACACATTTAAACATATTCTGAAAAACAACAGTGGAGATCATAATGGTAGGGAATATTTTGTACTTGGTACACTAAGGTGAACTATAGAGTTTTTGGATTTGACCAAGCTTGGTTGGTGATCTTTGCCATCTGGACTATGTCTCACTAGTGAGAGTTAACACTGAAAAGCTTGGTTCCCTGGCTGAGTGATCTTCTGAAGAAGGGAGTAGCACTAAACTCCCAGCACTGTGGAAGTTGTGGACTGGATTAGAAAACTAGGGAATGCTGTTTTAGCATATTGACCCAGAATGGTAGAGCCCAGTATTTTAAGAAAATTTTTAGGCTGGGTAGCAAAGGCAGTTCAGGGCCAAAGAAAAAGGAAATTGGTAGAAAGGGAAAACAATGTTGTTTTCAAATTACATAATGATTAGAAAAATTTCAACATAGAAGATTTGGAACGAGAACCTGTGTGAGATAGCTCAGTGAGGGGTAGAGTTGCCTGCCATCAAGCCTGACGGGCTCCTGCTCAGTTGGAACCCATACATGTAAAGGAAACCAACTCCCACAAGCTGTCCTGTGAACTCCATGCTTGTACACAAATACAAATGCGTTTTTAAAAATAGCCTTTAACATTTTTCCTCCCTGCTAATTACAATAAATCTGACACTAGATTTGCCCCAGATCAACTTTGTAAATTTCTCCACAGATTTGTAAATTTTAGTTTCTCCTATAAAGACTTCTCAATTTTATACCTTCTCCTCCTTCCTGTTTTTGAAGCTTAAGATTCCTTAGCTCTATTATGTTTGAACTTTTTTCATCTGCTGATGAAATCATCCTTCATCTACTTTGATGTTATTGTGAACTTTTTTTTAACCTACTGGTAAAATGGTCCTGTTTGGAATTTTTTATATTTGAAGGTTAGCAGCTCTGTGATGGCTGGCCTCTCTCTGTACACAGATTGTGTTTTCTTGTCATTTCTTGCAAATGAACATGCCCTGTACATACTTAGAAGGTCTTAGAAGGTGAGGTTGGCCTTATGACATCACAAACAAACTAATTCATGCATCCAGGGTTGATGAGATGGCTCAATGGGCTGAGGAGCCAAGCCTGACAACCTGCATTCCATCCTTGGGACTCACGTGGTAGAAAGAGGGAAGCAACTCCTAGACATTGTTCTCTGACTCACTTGCAGACCCCAAACAGAGTAATTAAAATAGAAATAAAAGAGCAGCTGAGCAGTGGTGGCATGTGCCTTTAATCCCAGCACTCCCTGAAAGGGAGAGACAAGCAGCTTTCTGTGAATTTGAGGCCAGCCTGGTCTACAGAGCTAGGTTCCTGGCAGCCGGAGTTACATAGAGAAACACTGTCTCAAAAAACAAACAACAAACAAAAAAGCATGGATCTAGTTAGGTGTGGTATACTATAATTCCCCTAAATTGAGGAGGATGAGGCAGAATTTTGAGTTTTATTAGAGTCAGCCTGGGTTACATACCGAGACCTTGTCCTTTTTATTTTTTTTTAACTTATATACTTGTTTATTACTATTTCTTCGCTTTGTATCCCCGCTGCAGCCCCCTCCCTTGTCTCTTCCCAGTCCCATCAACCCTCCCTCTTCTTCCTTATGCCTTTTCCCTAGTCCCTGATAGGGGAGGACCTCCTCCCCTTCTATCTGACCCTAGCCTATCAGGTCTCATCAAGGCTGGCTGCATCATCTTCCTCTTTGGCCCTGCAAGGCTGCACCCCGCCCCCGCCCCCCCAGGGGTGTGTGATCAAAGAGCCAACCACTGAGTTCATATCAGAGACAATCCCTGTAGCCCTTACTAGGGAATCCTCTTGGAAACTGAACAGCCAGTGGGCTTCCTTTGAACAGGGGGTCTAGGTCCTGTCCATGCACGGTCCTTGCTTGGAATATCAGTCCCTGCAGGATGCCTTGGGACTAGGTATTTTGGCTCTGTTGTTCTCCTGTGCAGTTCCTGTCCCCTCCAGGTCTTTCTATCTCCTTGTTCTTCCATAAGGATTCCAGCACTCTTGTCTTTACTGTTACTTTTAAACTATGCAATTTTTAAAAAGCTCCCCCCCCCAAAAAAAAAAAAAACAACCCTGGATCAGGATTGTGCTAATATTGAAAATATACTTTAATTAATTGTATGGAAAATAAAACTTTTCATTGGCTGGCTGAGGCAACTTAGTTTCTCTTTTAGTGGTTATTCATTTGTGTGACTTTTCTTAAACTAGGATGTTTTTTTTTTTTTTTTTCATTCTGGGACAGAGAATCCTACATTAAGGACACAGAGGTATTCATACGAGTCTGCTTCAGTACAGAAAAGGGAACTCTGGTTCCGTGCTCTGCTTGCATTGGGTCTTCTCTGCGCTGTAGAATTCACACCTCAACTAGAAACAGGGAGTCAAGACCCTTCAGCTTAAAGGTTGTAGAGTGCCTTATAACTTGCCACCTGGCCAGTCTACCACAAAGGAAAAAAGGAAAAGCTTTTATTTACTGTTGTTTGCTTTACTACATTGGAGTACTCTCTACATACCAATTTAAGTTCTATGTTTATGTTTGTGCTTCTGACTTACAAGATGTTACTAGGGCTGTCAGGGTGAATAGATGTGGTAAAGGGCACCATTTCTGTATGATGTTTCACTGCTTAATGCTGGTAGTTGAGAACTCTGATCTGTCTAGGGTTGACCAGGAGCTTATTAAAAGCATGCTTCAAGATGCAGATTATTTGGGGCTTTAAAAAGGAAGTCATTATTATTAAGACACCTTGAAAGTCATGTTTGGAGGATTTTTTTTTAAATATTATTTCAGATAAGCCACAGATTTTCATCTGTTTCCAGCTGCCTTCTATTCTTTAATCTACATCATCATTCTTTTCTGGCTTCTTATATGCAACAAAACATGTATGGACTAAAGTGACATTGGGCTTTGCACATTGTCTCAAGATCCTTGCGGTATGAGGCAGCTATGGGCCGTGTCACACGTGTCACACTTGAGTTAGGGAAGCCTTGTGTTTGCTCTGCGAGCTGGTTTTCTCGTAAAAAATGTGGCCATCTTGCCTACCTGGTTTGAGGTATCTGGTCTCAAATATCTCTTCTGGGAAGGGTGAGATTTGGGAGGGATTTGTAGGGATATAGTTCACAGTTAATAAACAAAGGCCTCTTCCTGTTCTTGTTTTTGTTGTGTGTGTCCAGGATTTAGAAGAATTCTGCTTTAAGTTTTGCATCAATCATTTGACAGAAGTTACCCAGACTGCGGCGTTCTGGCAAATGGATGGCCCCCTGCTAAAGGAGTTCATTGCTAAAGCCAGTAAATGCGGAGCTTTTAAGAACTGAAGCCAAGCTGCTGGGCTAGGTGTGAGTGCACGGGGCACTGTGGGGGATGTGACTCTGCAGGTAAAAGCAACCCCACACCAGAGGCAGTGCTCTGTAGGAATATATGAAGGACATTTGCTTCTCATGAGCCTGTTTTTCACAACTCTTGTTTCTGGAGATGTATATTTTAAATGTGATTTTCTAACATTTGGCTGAACTATGGGGAGGGATGAAAATTTAGTTGTTTTGGCTCTTTTAATTTTGATATAGAACTTGTGAACTTGGATTAAGGAGGTTGGTAAATATCCTGGAGCCTTTGGCCACAAACCTTTCCACACTGCCTGTGAAGGACAGGCCCTGCCCAGTGGTCCCTGAGTGCTATTCTGTCACCACCTTCCTGTGGGGACACGAGCACTGTGGGAGGCTCCTAAGGAATATTCCTGAATACTCATCAAACCCACTTAAACAGGCAGGAACTATTAGATTTGCTCTGATGCTCTGAAGATGAAGGTGCCTAGGGCTGGAAAGATGGCTCAGCAGGTAAAGGCTCTTATCCTAAGCCTGGTGAGTTAAGCTCAGTCCCCAGGACCCACATGGTGGTAAGAGAGAGCACACTTAATAAGGTGTCCTCTGACTGCTACACATGTCCCAGCACTACAGACATGACCATAATAAAGACAAATAATAAAACATAGAAGACTTAGGTTCCTAAAGAGAAACAGCTAGAAGTACCTGTGAGAAGCTGGAGACAAAAGGAGCCTTGTGTGAGAAAGGAGAGTGGTTGAGAAATTAGTCTCCACTGATGACCCAGCAGTGTTCCAGTAGGGCTGCATTCGAGACAGCACGGCACACTACCTTCCACCTGTCCCTGTAGTCACTCAGAACACACTCTGCACATCTGCTCCTTTCTGACATGATGTGGTTAAAACCATCCTTCTTACAGGACCCCATAGAGTGTTCTCTTTTGTTGGGGGTGGGTGGGATCTGGACCAAATTCCATCAAAACATAATTGGAGCCACCTTTCCAGTTTCAGTGTTTTTCTTTCTTTAATTGTGTTAGGAATACTTTTTGGTGTACTTTAGCCTTGAGATAGGGTTTCCAAGTCACAGTTTTGTGAAGAGTTCATTTTTTTAAGACTTTGTATCAGGGCAGAGTGGTGAGTGAGGCTCCAGTGATAGGAGTCGTTGACAGACAGAATACAAACCTAGCAGTCAAAGCCCCGGCTTCTTGATCATGTGACAAGTGTTACCTGGGACACTGGGAAATGAGAACTGGCTCACTGGACACTGGAAGTGAGAGTTTTCCTGGCTGGGGTAAAGAGTGGACATTAATTTGATCTGCTGTAATAGGCCGTCTGCATAGCCACAGTCCTGTAGACTTAGGGTCTCAAAGCAGTAACTTCAGTATGTTTACTGTTGCTCTTACTTGAAAAACCTCTCCAGAGAAAAGCACAAATTACAGCTTCAAATCCATATCCATAGATAGTTCATCTAAACAAAAAGCTGAGTTCCAGTTACAACTGAAGACACACTTTAATCTTACTGAATAGAGGGAGGGAGGGAGTGTGAGTGTGTGTGTGTGTGTGTGTGTGTGTGTGTGTGTGTGTGTGTGTGTGTGTGTGTGTATGGTAGTGAAAGACCAGTCCTTTAAAAAGTGTTTTGAGTATTTTTGTTAATGCAATCATTTTATTTTTCTACTTGGTTTTGTTTCTAATCATAGAGAACTAAACACTATTCTTGGAATTAATGTTTTTCTTCTGTTGTAATAATGGAAGCCAGAGAAGTCACATTTTTAAAAATAGCCCAGACTGTATTCTTTAACATACTAGAACAATATTTGATACTCGAGTATTTAGGATGCAGTCATGTAATGTTTTGAATGACATACAAATAAACAGTCTCGTAAGCGGGCATGTCTTAAAGCTGTGGTTGTTTTTCCCTTTGGAATATAGTACTACACAGTTTGAAAATGGAACTTGTTGCTTTGGTGCAACATGGATTAATTTGTGGACTTTGGTGAGAGAGAGAAAAAACAAAGTCAGCCACAAAAAGACATGTAGTATGTAGTTTAGGTCCTAAGGATAGAAAGAAAGTGGCTACCAGGAGCTGGGAGAGGAGAGAGATGTGAAATTTTCCTTTTGCAAGATGAAGAGATTTTTGGATGAGTAATAACTTTTGTCTATATTTGATGCAACTAAACAATATATTTTAAAACGGTTGAGGTAATAAATTTTGTTATATACACTGTATCACAATCTTAAAAATTAACAATGTTAGAATAAAAGTAAGATAACACTGATTGTATTACTTCTCAACTACGTCACCAATCCAAAGATCTTACTTCTGTTAAACAGAGTACACTTGAACCATCAGAGTGGAAAATGCATTTGAGTTGAGAAAACTTAAAAATGAAAAGTAGCAGCCACTATCCTTGTGAGACATATTGGTTATTAGGGGAAAGTGGAGATTGGATCAACAACCAATAATGTACTGGGATATGCTGGAAGGATCCTGCTGTTTGACGATCTGTCCCAGTCTGGGTAGCCATTCTGAACTCCACTTTGTGGTGCAGGAAGCAAGACGCCGTCTCTGCAGGGCCTCCTGCTCTCTGCCTGACTTCACCTAGAGAGTGTCTCTAGACGCTGATGCCCCTAACTACATTTGATATATGGCCTTTTGCTGGCTCTCTCCTCCCTGCGCCTGTATAATATTAGGTACTATATTTCTGTTCATAGGCTAAGAATATGCTATTTAATGTAATTCAAGCATCCTTGAAGTGCCTAGTTTCAACCAATTATGTACACCTATCCTTGGAGACTCCCACCCACTCCCCAAGGGGTATATAGCCTTTGTGCTCTGAATTAAAGTTGAACTAGCTCCCTGAAGTGGTTCCCAGGGTGTGTGATCTCTGTACAGCGATTGCCTGCCATTCCAGCCTTGCACTTCATCTTGTGACTTTGTGGGCTGGGGGGAGACAGCACCACCACCACCCCCACCACCACCACCCCGTGCAGGAGGAGAACCATAGAGATATTTGTAAAGTCTTTAATGTTAATTTTGAACAAAGGGGACTTGATGTACCATGGCATTCTTGTGGAGGGAAGAGGGCAACATTTAGAACTCAGTTCTGCTGTGTAGGCTCCTGGAGTTGAACGCCGGCCAGCAGGTATGGTGGCTAGTGCTGAACCATCTCACCAGTACATTTACATATATAATGGAACCAAATAGAGTTTACCTGAGAAAGCGACTGTTCTGAAGATGTTTTACATAGAAAAGGGAAAAACCATACAGTATTATTTTTAGCTCATCCATAAAACAGTAAATTAAACCTGGGTGATAATGAGCCTTCAAGTAGATCTTTAAAACCGAAGCATTGAATAAAGGAATATGTGTGGAAAATCCCTAACATTTCCATCCCACAGTTCCATATGCTGTGTCCTGAGCCTCCATACATTTTATTACATAGAAATGATGGTTGTGAGTATTTGCTCATTTTTCAGTAATAACAGA